TTTATTATGGATGTTTATATCGTAATCCCAAAAAACGCACAGCACCACATTTTTTGTTGTTGAATCCGACTTTTCCTCTTTTCTGACCAACACTATACATATAATCCCGTTCGACTTCAACATCAACTTGGAAATTGGAATTTGCAGTTCATTACAATTTTTTCACTTAGTTTTCAAGACACCTATATGCTTTACTTTTTTTGCTATCATCTTAATCATCGATCATCTTAAACCTTATCAATAATTTTATGGACTCTCCCGGTAAAACGCCGACTTGAGCTCGGAACAATTTTTACATCATAATTTTAAGAAAAAAATGGTGTAAATCATTTTCTTGTACCCTTACTATAACTATAGCAAATTTTTTAACAGACTTATGCCAAGTATTTCCGGATTTTTAGCAAAATTGTAAAATATATCGTTTTTTTCTGGTTGTTCCACATATTGAAAATGAAGAAATATCAGCTGCATGCAAAATCAAAGCTTTATGAAATTAATACATTCTAATTAGGTAATAAATTACTCTCTCTTAACAATACTCAATATATATTAAATGGCCATAAAATCTATCCTGAGTCATCATAACACATATTAGGAAAATGCGATGTACTTATGCATAACTGATAAAAAATATCTGGGCAAATATTTAATTGACTAGGCGAATAATTAGCATTGCTAAGTCTTGCTTTCATTCTGAAGTTCTTGAGGACCATATCCAGAATTTTCCGTTAAAAGAAGATTATATAAAGAATTAAGTAAAGTGAAGAAAAAATTGATAAAAGTAAAGTGTATGTATTATATTCCTAGAGTATTTATTATGTTAATATACAATAGTTGAGAGAGTAATAATGCACAATAATGTAATAATGCGCCTTTCTTGAAAACATGATCAAAATTTTTTATTATTACAACCTTTATTTTTATTATTTACTATATATCTCATCTTACTTGATAAAATACAATTATTGTCATTAAATAATTTAATTACCTATTTGAAAATAATTAAATATATAAAAATATAAAATAATTAAATATATAAATATATAAGATTTATTATTCTTTTTATTCTCTTACTATTATTTACTATTGGAGCATCCCTTTATATATTATTCTGTTTTGTTATTAACAACAGATGTCATTTTAGCGGCAGTTTGGTGCCTGTAGTTCGGTAAATTGGTCTTCTTCACATCCTTAGGAGCGTTAATGCGATGGGAAGCATAAGAAACTTATTTGAGTACGCGTCGTATATTGTTTTTAGAGGATCTGGAAAATGTTTAGTCAAAACCATTTAAGTTCACATCTTAAATTAGGGTTCGGAGTTCAGATTAAGTCAAATTAATTTTTAGTTACTATATAATGTTTCATGAGGTCAGTAAACTTTACTTATAATACTAACGCTACAAAAATTATTGGGACTGCATTGCTAAGATCTATATTTGAAGTTTATAAGATGCTTATAGGTATCCATAACTCATAACGTTGCTTTAAAATAATTTGAACTTCATTGAAGGGATTTATATCTAGAACCAAATCGTTTATTTTTATCGCAAATCGCAAATAATGTTTAAGCTCTTAAGTAAAATAAACTCTATAAGCTCTAGAATAAAGTAGAATGTATAAATAAAATCAACTACTGGAACCAAATCGATTTTCGTTCAGTGCATGATGTTTGTGCTCTTGATATAAATAAATGTTACATATATTTACTTACTTACTGCTATCCTTTTCTTCTATCCTTTTCTTCATCTAGATACTCAAACGTAAATTTGGCACCTTCACCTTCACATCCGATGTGCCTGCTGTTACCCCATGGAAATATAGTTTAGTTGCGGTTTTGATTGTTGGTTAAGAGTATATGTAAAGATTAATGAATGAGTGATGAGTTCAAAGACTATGATGATTCGCTTCTTTAGTGATTTCTAGAAGAGTTGTTTGTCCTCACCTACTTCCTGAGATGTTATGATGTGCAAAAAGCCATTCAGATGAGTTGGTCACGTTCCCTCATCCTTTTCAACCGGGCTTGGGATCGGCTACGTTACATATATAGATTGTCGAAACTCATTATGATTTGGACTACATTGATAAGATCTATATCTAAAGCGAAATGTAATCTCGCTTAATAAACAATATTTATGAATATTATGAATTGCTTTAACTGAATTGCTATAAATCGGTATTATATATAAAATATATATTATAGTTTTATACTTTAGAAGGCGCTTTTGTTGGTATAAACTTTAAAATATAGAATAGAGAGTTATTTGTGTTCTACAAAATTCGGTGGGTTAAATGTATTATCAACAAATTTGTGTCAATGACTTAAAAGTACTTGTTTATACTGAGAACTCCAATCAGTTTTTTTTGGTATAACAACAAAAGCTTAAAGTAAAGTCCTTCTATATGATATTTTATAGGAGTAACTTTGTAAGCTCATTGTTGTTGTTGCTTTTTTTGTGAACAATTACTGTTCAATTTCAACCCACATGCTGAGATATGGGCGGCACCGACAATACTGACGCCGCACAAACTACGTCATCAGTTTTTTGGGTTTTTTTGCTTCTAAGTAAAATTCGAGAAAAACATATAGTGGAATGGTCTTTTTAGGTTGGG